AATTCGCTCCATTTTTCTTTTCTTTTCTTTCTTTCTTTCGCTCACGTTCCATCGTATCCGATTATACGTATTCACCAATTCCTAATGCACTCTAATTTTTTTCTTTTTTTCTCGTTCTCAACGAGACATTTGAACGAAAGTTTATAGTGGATTATAAACTGGCGGAGAGAGATGAAAAATCGAAATGAAAAAAAAAAGTTCGTTGGATTCGAGATAATGTAATTCCCCTTATATTTCCCTCTCTTCGTGGGAAAAAATCCTCTTCAACTTTGACGAGGTAAAAAATTATCTTCGATAACAACAACAAAGAAAAAAAGATGAATGATGCATGTACATAAATTGAGAATTATGAGAATTATGTTTCGAGAAGAAAGAGAAAAAGAATAAGAGAGGGGAAAGGAGAAGGAATAGAGAAAAATTGGCGTACTTCATTCCCGGTAATTGGACGGCATAGCTTGTAGTTCCCGGGGAAATCGTGATGCAAATGTGGGGCCGTAGTCAAAATTAAAGGAAATCCTTTTTCTGGCCACGTAAACCGCCATTTGGAAGGGGACGCGATCGAGTGAATTCTCCAAGTTTCGTTTCGAAATAAACATTCATTGGGACCCGCGGAGCTTAACATAACACGATACCCTTTTAAACGAATCTTCCCTTCACTATTATAAAACTGGAAAAGTTTGGTCGAAAAACCGTAACAACACCCTTTGCCAATATATTTCTTCCACGACTTTTTATTTACGATACATCGATAAAATGTTATCGATTAATTAAAAATCGTCTCTCGGTTGTGTGGAAAAATTTATCGATATTAAGATTTATTAAAAAAAATTTCTCAATTTGTTCCATCCTTTTACATTTAATTAAATAATAGATTCATATCGCGTTGTACCAATTTCGTCCTTTTTGCTTTAAACAATCAATAGTATCGCGTTCTACATGTACATGCATTATTGAAGAGGAAATTTTTTATTGGGGAAAAAATTTACATACATACACATACGCCCTAGAGTTATACGCGCCTTCGATATTCGATAAAATATCACGCGCCAAAGTGTAATTTTTATATAGATCTTAAACTTGGAACGTAATATTGAATTAACAAGCAAATTAATTTAAAAAAAAAAAATAAATAAATTCGTTGCAATATCTTCCAATATAAAATCTATAATTATTATATCGTTATATCATATATATATAACATATCATATTATTATTATTAATAATAATATTATAATACGTTTATTTTATTATCCTGTGATATGATTTTATTAAGACGTAATCGTGGCAGATGTAATTTTAAATTGGTTTACAAACTTCGAGCGAGCTCAACTCCCTGTGAATAGTAGTGTAACAGTAATATACGATGAGGTAAATTTCCCCGAAGCCCTTGTCAGAATGTTGGAAGGGAAAAGGGAGAGATGTGTAGGGAAACGGGTGATGCATTCACCTTTCGATGGAGCGTCCTCATTAACTCATTCACCAAGTCGTGGATCGGAACTCGTATCGTCATCGTGATTATGATTACGCGCCTCGTTTTCACCGATGACTTTCCGACACGCTCTTCTTTCTCTTAAAAGCTTCATCGGTTTCTGTTTCGTGGTGCCGTGTTTATTTGCAAGCGTCGGCAAAGAGTTTAATTAAGAGTCACATTAGTTAGAAAATCCGAATGGATGGAAAATGATATTCGCAATTAAATTAAATGGCGATTAAATGATGAAATTCCAAGAACGAGGAAGCGAAAATGGTGGATTCGAAAATGAGGTAAATAATGATGAGAATCGCTCTGAGTGTTAAGTATTTGGGAATGTGATCGAAGATTTGTTTGAAAAAAACTTGTTAACAAGAGTAAAAAGATAAAATTCGTTTCGAATAATTTGTAAACACCAGAGAAATCATAAAGAGAGATAAAACAATCGATAAATAAAAAAGAGATAAAAATGATGAAGTAATAAAATCATAAAGAAACAATTATTTACACATCCTTTTGATTAATTAATTTTAACCTCGAAAAATTTCGATTCTTCGAGCTCCGTCAAATCCTATTTCTCTCTATTAATTTCTCTTCACTTCTCTCTTTTTCATAGCTCGTTTTTTACCAATACACGTTCGACTATCTTCCTTCTGGATCTCTTTCTCTCTCCATTTTCTCTTCTGATAAGCTTCGCGACGAAAAGGGAAAAATACGAAAGATGAAAAACGAGGAAAGTAAAGAAATAAGTGACAGGAAGAGATAGAGAGAGAAAGAGAGTTTCCAAGAGGAAAGTTTGAGGCGAGAGCGACTGGCGAATGGATTAAGCAAACTAATTTATAGGAAAAAAAGAGAAGAGGGAGGGAGTGAAGAAAACCGGAAGTCCAAGGCAAAAATACGATTAACGTGGCAAAGTGGCTAGCCAGGAGAATCAGATCTCTAGGCAGGAAGCTTGTTACGAAGAAGAGAGCGCGAGATCACAGGAAAATAGATAAATTTACTTCTCCCTGTGTGTAATTAAACACCCTCGACCATTCGTGTCTCCATTCTGTGTCACACTTTGAAGGAAAGGGGTCTGGACATCCCCTTTCCATATCCAGCATTAATATAAACGCCCAACCCTTTGTTATTTCCATTCATGATTCTTCAATATCTTCTCGTCTCCCTGGAAATTTTTGCATTCCAACATCGACACAAAGAACGGCTTTTGCGCTGCGATAAAGGAAAAAGGAAAGGCGATGGCTGGCTTGTAGGATTGTAGAAAAAGAGAAAGTATAGTGGGATGGAAACAAGTACGCTTGGACGACGACGGAACGGGGACGAAGTTGTTAAAAAAAAAAAAAGAAAAGAAAAGGAAGCGAAAGAAAGAAAAAAGAAAAAGAAGGAGAAGGAGAGGAAAGAAGAAGAAAAAGGAAGGGGAGATAAAAGGAACAGCATGCCGGAGAAACATGAAGGAATTTGCATTCAATTCTCGGTATAATTGACCAGTTCGATTCGCACTTCTATTCAAACGTCACAGAGAAAAATGTCGCTTTATTTGGAATTAATAGGAATTCCGTCTTCCTTGGGAAGCTATCTTTCCTTTTGCTTCTATCCTCACCGGCATCTCCTCACCCTCTTTCTCATCCACGACCCACGTTTCCTGTTCACATTCTTACAAGTGCGCTCCCGCGCAGTCTTGTTGCAGAAACTTCTTCGAGAGACGACCCCGAACGAATTTAGTCGGTGGCAAAGAAGTAGGAGAAAGGGAAATAGGAAGGGGAGAGAAACGATTGCTCGGGCAAAAAGAATGACGAAAAAATGTAGCAGGAGATGAGAATATTGATCAAAGAAACGGGACAAAAACGGAAGGGAAAGGATATAATATTAGTTGTATTATCGAGTCTATTATATGGCCATAAAGTGGAACCACAAATGTTTGTATTATTGAAATTCATGATACATGTATATATTATATATACACGTTATAGAACAACGATTCGAATCGTGAAAATCAATTTTAATAATTAATTTAATAAGTAATTTTCTCATATCAAAAATTATTTTTCTTTTTTTTATCTGTATCCAATTTAAGAGTTATTAAAAAACCAAACAGACTATCAGACAACTTTTAAGCTTACGAATGATGTTCTATAATTTTTATCAATATTCTTATAAATATACATATCTCTTATTCGAAAAAATTATGTATTCAATGAACAATTCACATTTAAATATCATACAATCCTCACGATTATAAAACAAAATCGAGTATGGAAAAAATGCAGAGGATTCGCGTAAAGGAACGAAGTTTCCGCTCGATTCTTTCTATCATCAGCCTGTGTCGCGTCTAACTTACATTCAAATTAACCCGCGATGCAATATCTAGTCGAAATTAACATAAATTTCTCTCTTCATTCATTTTCATTCACCGAGCTGACTTCTTTTCCCAGACCATCCCGGTAGTCTTAGGATGCAATACTGCGCGAACACGGGTGAAAAAAGCGACTGGAAAGATGAAAGAACGAATGTACGCGGAAAAACGAGGCACGAGGGAGATAGAATCATAGACGATATCGAGAGAACGAGAAAGAGGAAGAAACCATGCGTTCAATACGCATGCGAGGTAAAACATGTGCGCGGGCGCGTACAACGAAGGCTCTTTTCGATCGACGTAGCACCACGACTCTGACGATGACGTCGAGGAGAACGTGGACAACAACGACAACGACGACGACGACGACGAAGACGACGAAGACGAAGTCGGCGTCGACCAACGACGTCGACGTCGGTAGCTAGCTTCGTTGCGATGCGATAGTGGTAGTACTAGCAGTAGTATTACAGCAAGATAGCGAATGGTGGGAATAGAATATCGTGGAGGGGATTGGCGCCAGTGGAGAGGGAAATTAGAGTAGTGGTGGCAGCCACAGCGACAGTGGCGACGCTAACGTCGACCGTGGCAGCTTAGCGTAGCGGTGTGCACCGCACGGCCCGGTGGAGCAGGGAAATCTCGCCGAGTGCGAGTGGCGCGCATTACGTCGTTCTCGATCGACTGTCAAAATTATTTTATATCGGGCGTGAATTTTTATTATAGAACGTGTCGTGTATTTATTACGAGGCAGTAACGTAACCACGGCAAAGTTTAAAAAATCGTGTAGAAGATAGAAAAATTCCGTAGTGAATGTAGATCGGTAGAACGAGGGAAGAAAGACCGGGGTTATAAACGTGTCAAACAATCGCGTGCGATCGTTGATTGCGTCGGAAGTGATGTTACTTTCGTTTCGATAGTGATTGCTCGTGTTTGTGGCCGATTCCGTGGCTTTCTTGCATCACGAAACGGTGTTTCTGACGAAAGAGTGATTTTTTTTGAAGTGTGTTTTTTCGGTTATCGTATTTGCAACGTCTCGTTTCGTCGTTCGATTTATCGATTGATAGTGTCGATTCAATCTACGTTCGATTGGTTCGATTCCTCTTCGACCAAGGAAAATGTGGCCGCAGTGTGTGAAAGACACGCAGGACGAGGATATAGGAAGACAATTTCCATAAAGTGAATTGAAGCAGAGGTCCTGTGATCTCGAGAAACATAGTGTTAGTGAAGTTGGTGGAAGATGCTGCTTGACAATCGATTGCTATGATCGAGCCGCGGAGAGTTCACGTGGAACGATCATGATTTACCTTAGGCTGCACGTCGGGAGGAGTCTACGGTGCAACACGAATGCAAGACACTGGAACGTGTTCATCGTGCCACTCTTCCCACTTTGGATTATCGGCGCCTTCTGTGTGAAAGACAGTGAGTACAAAAAACTATTTTATATCGATTATTATCTCGTGAATTTTAAAACGCATTTTAAACGATACATTGTTATTGCTTACTAATCGTTATCGATAATACGAAGGCCATGTTTATAAGTTATAAGCAATTCTTGGAAATTCTGTACGTTTGAAAAACAATTCGGAACGTGTGATTTTACTACGCATAAACTTTTATTTTGTATACATACTTCTGTTTCGAACATAATGGCCTATGTGTTATAGGTTATCTATTCTCTCCGCTCGAATAGCTTTTCGATAGTAATATATATTTCAAGATTCAGCGTATATATATTCTCGTCTTTTTTATAGGTTAGGTTGCGAATATTAAATTTCGAATGTTATAGAGCTAAAAAATTTATCGGAAATAAGTATCAATTTAATTTAATTTTCTCAAACTTGATAGGATTGCGGAATATTTCGACACCATGGATCGTTTAAATGAAATAACGTCCTTTTCGAAAGATCGTTTCGAAAGTTTCGAGATAATAATAGGGGGAGTATGTTTCTGCGTGAAACTTGCGAACGATTCGATAATCTCGATTGTTGTTTCTTACTTGATATTTCATCGATTTCAAACGATAATCCCGTCGTTCTCGCGTATGATTTCATTTGCTAGGCGATGTTAGATAGAATCGTTATCTGAAATTTCTTGCCAAAAGAAAAAATGATTTTCAGAACTCAGATTTTGCATAGAGTGGAAAATGGTCTTTCCCCAAAGTAATGGGATCACGACAATCTGGAAACGTAACTTCCTCGAACTTTGTCACTCGTTCGAAACGTAGTGCAAAGTTTTCAAGCTTTGATACACGAGCCTCGTGATGCTCTTCCTCCATTACCGAGAAAATTGTCAAGTAAACTTCCAACTTGCGTTAACCTATCCATAACATAGAATCGATTCTCTTGGTCGATAGTGGTCGCTTAATAAACTTGAATTCCGCGATATAATCTATATAACTGGCCCGTTTCCTCGAATGGTCGTTGGAAATGCAGATGATAGAACCGTAACACGGTTTATTACTGAGTTTTCTTATCGTTTCCGGATTCAATCTCATTTTAATTTATGAAACAATAATAATTATATCTAATATTGGAATGCAGATCGGTTTCATTAGTGGATTCTAACGTTAGTTCAAAAGCATTATTTCCTCTAAATTTTATCCGTGATCCCATGTGTTCAATTTTAATCAAAGATCCCGCGAATCGATCGAGTGTTTTCCTGTTTAATCGAACGATCGGCCGGAAGTTTTGTCGCGTGTTACATATTCATCGTAATGCCAATGTTGGACGCAGTTGGACGCGCTTCCAACTCAAAGACAACTTTTCGCTTTGACTCGGTTCACGGCATCGTATTAAGCTATGCATCGGTTTCAGCTGGCTTTTAACCGAAAGCAAGATGAACCATCGCGCGATTGGTTTCGTCTTAATTGATATTCAACTTGTTTCTTGACGATATACCGCAACGATACAGAAAGTTTCGAAATTGCGCGTTAGTCGAAAACAAAATAACAAAAGAATTGGTTGGAGGGGAATTTTCTTGTTTAAATTGTATTTAAATTTTATATTTTTAATAAAACTTTTAAAAGATTAAAACGGATTGTCAACAAGTAATCTGTTACACGAGATATTTTTGCAAATATTGAAAACTTTGGAACAACAAAATATTTTTATTATTACGATTTTAATTAAATTATTTAAATTGCTTGTATAAAGCTTATAAAGTAACAGTATAAAAACAGTCGATGCACGAAAGGTTACTTATAGACGTATTTCTAGAACCATTAAAACTTTGTTACCGAGAAATAACGTTGGATGAAACATATCATCATCCAATATTAGAAACTCGAATATACAAATCCATAAATTATGAAAATTTACACTTGACTGTATATGCTCTACACATACCTATTTAAAACGCTTCCACCGCAAAAGATTATATATGTAACCGAACAAAGAAACGCTGCTTCCTTTTTCATTCTTTTTCTTGTTCCATCGATTTTCCATTTCGAAACATCCTGTTTCCAAACTGTTTCCACTGAAAATGCGATTTCGATTTCGCAGTCGCGACTTGTCCGGTTCCGGTTAGCTCGACGGAAGCGAAGAGATGGACGATTTGCGAGCCCTGGGAAACCGCGTGGCTGAGAGTGCGGCAAGATTTAGTGCCCTGTCGACTCGGGATAAAAAATAGAAGCGCGTGGAAATTGCCAAGTCGGGAAACTTTGCGGCGTTGTTCACCTACGAATTGCGTTTCCCTTGTCGCGTGATGAAGTTATGGGTTCACGACGCATCCAAGTCCCCGGGCTTCCAAGTTTTTCCGACCGAAAACCACGTTTTGCTCTTCCACGTAAGAAAATATGATGCGCCCTCGACCTCTCCTCGCTACCCCTCCCAACCAACCTCCTTTCTAATCGTTTTGTCGCCCGGATCTCGAGGAATCGGCGAACGATTCTCGATATCTCCCCCCGTGGATATTACTTTTTAAGGGATTCGGGATTACGCGGCTATTTATTACACGTTTTGTGGAGGAACTGGCCATTTACGGGACACCGGCCATAAACACAGGAGATTAAGCGCGAGGCAAAGCTCGACTCGGGTCGAGCCAAGTATTACTATGTTCCCTGATGAAAGTAATGGGTATACTTAACGCGTATCGCCAATATTCGCCGCGATATCTCACGGATGATCGTTTAGCTCGTTGAACGAATAACATGGATGTAGTGCATTAGCGAACCTATTGGCGTGTATTTTATATACATCGTGAAATTTTCTAACGGGGTTGATAAAAATGAAGGGACGAGAAAGAGGGAGGGAGGGAGGGAAGAGGAAATGGCACGTTTCGGAGAAGATCTTATATCGATCTTTTATTATCGATCTAAGACTTTGTTAGCATAGATTCGCTAAAAGGGATGATTCTTCTCGTTATAAATCATCGTGTGAGATGAATCTGTTAACTTATATCGCATTCTTTTCTTTGAAACGTTCCACTCAATCGATGGATTTTAATTACGATCGTTTTATCTCGCGTTATCAAGTGCCAGAAAAAGATAAAAGATAAAAGAGGTGGCATTTTTATCAAAGTCACCTTATATCGGCTCGTTAATCTCGAGACAAGAGCTTGCTTAAGCCCTAAACCTGTTGAACACCCTCGTCAAATTCTTCTTCGTCAGAATTTCCATCAGAATCGATGCACTTCACGAGCAGTGAATGCAGGTTGTTCGTAGAGGATGCGTACGTTTATAGAAAGCGCGAAAAAAAAAAAAAAGGGTTTCTATCGTGTCATACGTCAAAAAGTCGGGATGGCCATATCGCGAATTCATCGCACGTATCTCGCGTCACCTCGTTGCACAGTTTTCCACGTTGGCTCATCCTGACGACAAACAGATCCCAATCTGCCCTCGAAATTTTAAGCCTCGAAGCTTACCAAAACGTGCGAAACGTTCTTCGGTTAATCGCGCCACAAATCCATCTTAGTCGAAGATCGCTCCATTCGTTGTTTGCCTTTGGATTTCGCTGAACGGTGTCGAGTTCTTCAGGATCAGAATGTGAACATAATTTCGTGAATTTCTTTCTGATGATAATTAGACTGCGAATTTTTATGCCGGTGAAAACGAATTCGAACATTTCATGGATTTTTTTAACAAATTGCTATTGCTTATCTGAAAAAATTGGATTTATTTGAAAAAAATTACTTTACAATATTCAATTATCATACGAATAAAATTAATAGAATATTGATTATCATTTAAATATGAAATTATATAAAAATTCGCAATCTAATGATCATATATAAACTTGAATTTATCAAAAAATCGAACAAGAAACCGACAAAATTATTCTTGATTAAGAAATTGCTCGTTTCACTTCTTCTTCTAATTGATTCAAACTCGAAGAAATGATAATCACAAAGAAAATATAAATCCAACTATTATTGTTACAGAAAGCACAGGAAGAATTTGGCGAATTCGTTTCTCCAGTCGTGCACATGTTCGTCATTTCTATATCGAACTGAGGACGTCTACGGTATATAGAAACGTCCACCAATCATCTTATTATCGCATCATTAGAGTAACACGAATTCCGTCCACGGTCTTTACGCGTGTTACCCTCTACGAACGTTCACAGTATTACTTGGCGAATTCGCGTGCGATGTAGATGTCCATCGTTTTGGAAATTCCTTTGCGTGCCCTTCTGATAACCGAATTACGATTGTTCACCGAACCATGTTGCGCAAGGGCATCGAAATGGCAGGAGTAATTCCTCTCTCTCTCTCTCTCTCTCCTCGTTACCAAATATCTCACGTGCGGATCGAGGGGACGAACGATTGATTTTCGTGCCTCGTGCTGCCTTCCCTAATCTCCCTTCCCTCCTTCGTCCTTTAGCCTTCGGTTGGTCGGAGTAATTAAGCCAATTTTCGCGTCAAATACGCGGAATCACGCGGACGTCGTCCTTGATTTGATGAAAGGATTTCGAGAAATTTCGAAGTGGACTTGCGTATGCATAACTTAAATCGAAGTTCGAAGATTTCTATGAGAGAATCTTTAGCAAATGTTATCTGTAAAAATTACTGTAAAAATTATCTCTCATAAGCCTGGTATCGTTCAATCCCTTAATTATTCAATTTTTGCAAGAGTAAAAAATGAATATAATAAACTACTTTCCACACACATATTCTCTTCGACAGAGATAATCTGATACCGTTATTTATCACGGTACATTCGATTTGTACAAGGATACTCCGTTCGTCAAGGGGTGAAAGTACACTTTTTTTTCATCAGTTCCGCTTGAAAAGCTGGCGAACGTTCGGATGGATGGGGCGAAATCGCGCGACACGTCACCGTGTGTAAAACTTGGAGGTCAATTAATCGACGTCGGGTGCTCGGTCACGCTCACGCTGTGAAAAAGCCTCGATAAAACACTCGGATGATCATCGTGCTCGGTTGAAAAGGAGTTCGATTCGAGATTGGAATCGGCGCGTAATTA